AGGCTCGGGGCCCCCCACACCCCCGCGCCCGCCATGAGTTTAAGCCATTGGGTCTGGGACTCAAACTGCAGTCAACTACATGGAAGTCCAGCGACATAGCTATTATGCTAACTGCTGGTCCCGGCATTATCACATTATAAAGCTAGAAAAATGAAGGCTCTGAAATCAGATGCCATCAAGCTGAGGTAAGGCCAGAGTCAGGATGCAGTCTAAGGTCTACTGGATGCCAAGGCTCAGGACACTTACATTCTCCTCTGCTGCTTCTCAGCATTAACAGGGTAAACAAAGAGAAAAAAATAAAAATTTTACTCTAACTTCAGTTACTCGAAGAAATATGGATCATTGGAAAAGTCATAACATATTTTTCTATGTGTTTCTATAAAAAAATATATCCTGACTTTTCCAATGACCCAATATTTTCAGTAAAGATTAATCATCTACATTTTTTAAGGAAAACATAATAATTTTTCATTGGAAATCACTGAAGGGAGCAGAAAACTTTCACCTTCAAAGAGTTCCCACAATGCTAATTTCAGGTACAGACCATTGTAAAACATCAAAATCTAAAGATGGAATTTTAGTTACCCTGTGATCCAGGTTCTAAGGTGACGGCCCAGGCAGTGAAGCAAGCATCCAGAAGTCAAGGCATGTTCTCCACCAAAGGCTCTGCTTTCTCCTTCAGGCTTCAGCCCCAACATCACCTCTTCAAAAAGACCCCCAACATCCCACCCTAACCAACCTCCCACCCTAACCAACCTCCCACCCTAAGCAACCTTCTTTTCCAGTCACTATCACACATGCTGTTTTTTGTTTTGTTTTTCTGCACTTGGCACTGAGTGAAATGATCTGTTTTATTTAGTTTAATTATTATCTCCATCTCTCTTTATTCAATTCCCCAAAAACATCACCAATACAAATCCCTTCTCTTGGAGCCCCCATGGGAGCCTGCACTTGCTACACCCATATCTCAACACCAACAGGAATGTCCACAAAAGGTGCTTCCTAAAGATTGGCTAAATGAACGGCCAAACCCGGAAACTCACATCTTTCCGTGTCTTATGCTCTGCAGCCTGAATCCTCTGATCCATTTCATCTTCCAACTCACTCAACTGCATGGCTGCCTTGTCCTGGGCTCTGAAATTCAAAAGGATGCATACCTTTCCATTAGACACTTGGGCCAGTAACATGAAAATGTCACACTTTATTTCAAGCCTCATCTTTTATAGATGAGAAGAAACATGCTATTCAAAAGACGATTTCCCATTCCTTCCACATGATTAAATGAGATTGACATTTGGCCATTTTGGTGTAAAACTGTATTAAAACTAGATATAAAATAAATGAAATGAATTATATTAAAATGCTATTAAACTAGATTGTGGCCAACAGTATATGCAGAAACCAAATTGCTGGGAGGTTCTCAAAAAAATCCTTTTCACTGCCATGACTGAGTCATAACTCCAGACAAAAAATAGAGAACTTCATGGCCAAGTAATGGTTGGACATTATTTTGAAGTTATTGTTATAAGGGTGCCAGTAGGTGGCATGGTGGTTAAGGCAGTTGGACTCCCACATGGTTGACCATGGTTCACATCCCAGACCGGATGACCTGTAAATCACACTGGGCATGTGTACATGCATGTCCAAAATCCCAGGAGAAAAATGGAGGAGTAAAGATTGTGGCGTGGCCCCTCGGGGGTGATTTCTCACTTTCTCTCTCACGGTCTCTCTTTATCTCTCTCCAGTGAGTACATATACCCTAAGGCGATATCCTCTGGGGGAAAAAAAAAAGAAATTGTATTATATGAACATTGCATTATACGCTAAAGTTGGAAGGGAAAAAAAGATATCAACAACTATTTTTAATCAGTCCTTAAAGTTCAAGAATGTAGATAAAGTTACCTTTTAGAAATATTCTGATTCTTTTTTTTTTTTGAAATATTCTGATTCTTTTATTAATGCAATTAACAAATCACATCTCTATGGAGGCAGAGCATATTAACTTGCCTAAAAGTTAGAAATGGAAAAATTTCTGTGAGAGAGGCTATCTGGTATGAAGATGTCTGTTGCTTTACAATGACTGAGATTTCAGATTAAATCCTAAAAAAAAAAAAAAATTATTTGGGTAACATGTCCAATTATCTAACTTTTCACGTGCATAATGACTTGTCTACCTAACCAGACTATAAGCTATTTGGAAGCAGTCACCATGAGAGCTGATTCACTTGGCCCGATGACATACTGTTAAGAAAAGGTTGAGGGCAGGGCCTACGTAAAGACCAGCCGTCTTCTAACGTGATGGGCCTCTGCTGCACCATTCCACCTGCTGTCAACTTACTTATTCTCTCACCACACATCCTGTTTGTGCATTAATTTTTTTAAGGTTTTTGCCACAGGGCGTGTGTCCTCACCAGAGAGAAACAGAGATAGTGAGAAGGAGAGTGAGAAATCACCCCTAGAAGGTATGGCCATACCACAATCCCTTCACCATTCTCTTCCTGAGATTTTGGGCACGCAAACATACACACCTGTGTGATTTTCAAGCCATCAGGTCTGGGACTCAAACAGCAGTTGGCCATGTAGGAGTCTAGTATTAGAATCACCACGCCGCCTGCTGGCCCCGTTTGTGCATTCATTTTCTATATAAAACTCCAAGCTAATGTAGCGGTAGGAAGACCCCAAAGTAAACTTTTGAGTAACATTACTATTTCCTGCTCCTGTTTAACTCCCCCTCACCATGGAACCTTTCCCAAACTTACACTCAAGTGTGGAAAGTCAGTGGTTTCTGTTTACATTCACCAGCTATTTCAAGTCTAGAAATTATGCATCTCCATACCTTTTTTTTTTTTTTTCATTGTTGGTCAACTCTGGAACTGTGCATTGCTCAGCTACAATACCTACTCCCTTTGTTATGATCTTTTCCAGCTATTTCTTCTAGATATCCCATCTCAAATATTGAGAACTGTCTCACAGTCTCATCCGAGTGCCCTATCAGGACAGTGGGAATTCATTCTTCAGGTGCAACCCTGAGCAAAAAGGCTGAGACCTACCCTCAGCCAAAAACAGGGATGAGGATGAATGGCCCTTGGCTAAGAATGCAAGGGATGTTTCACAAGTAGCCATTTAAATACCTGAGCAAGGTCTCTGATAAAGAGGGGCCTTTAGGAGACCTCAGCCTCAGGATAGAGCCTGGCTCTGCCGCCCCCATGACAACACAGAGCAAGGTGGAGGAAAGGCATCAGCACAACTCAGCACGATGTGACGGGTACGCCCACAGAGGCAGCAGCCTCACTGGGAGGGACAGCATGAAGCACATGCCACTCTTTTTCCCTTGTGGGATTTTCAGGTGGAACTATGCTGAGTGTGTGTGCGGATTATTTTCTTCAGTTCTGTCTCTGTCTGCTTGTTGATTGTATATGGAAATACTATAGATTTTTTTTTTTTGGAGAGATTTTCACTGTAGGGCGCGTGCGCTCGCCAGACAGACAGAGAGAGACATAGAGACAGAAAGCGAGAAATCACCCCCCAGGGGGGATGGTCACGCCGCAATCCCTTCTCCTCCATTCTCCTCTCGGGATCTTGGGCATGCACGCACACGCACCCGGCGTGAGATTTAAGCCACCGGGTCTGAGACGCGAACCGCGGTCGACTACGTGGGAGTCAAGCGACATAGCCATTACGCTAACTGCTGGTTCCCGAGAGTTGTATCTTTGTGTGAGTCTATGTATGTGTTCCTGTGCACATTCTTCAGAGTTTGTCAGATATTCACTGGACATGCTCAAGGATCAACGTGTGCTTCTGCTAGTCACCTCAAGAGAGGCCCACTAAGCTCTGAGCCACACTCCAGAATACTCTACAGAACTTGGGAATTCTCGATGCAGACAGTGGCACAGCAGTAAAATGGGACACTGTCAGGTTGATCCACAAGAGGAACTTCTGGGTTTGTATGTAGAGACCTCCCTGGGTATGCCGAGCATGTGTGTGCCCATGATCTGGGGCTTGCTGAAGCCGTGTGTGGCTCATGGCATCAATACCCTGGTGTCTGCTTCTCTCACTCTCCCTTTCATATGAAGGAAATAAAAAATAAACTTAAAAAAAAAAAAATTTGGAGTTCTGAGAACTATCCTTCATCCTACTGGAAGGCCCCTGGGAAAAAAATCTGAGAGAAAAGACCAGAGTCGGGTGCTAAAAATGTTTATAAGATGTTCTTATGAAACCACATGACTAGTTCAACTGTGGCTTGATCTTAGGGCTGTAAGAACAGTCCTAGTTAGCATCAGCATTTTAAAACATTTCTCCTACATTAAAAATAATAATAACAATGTTTGGGGGGCCAGGAAGTGGCACTGGACTCCCACATGGCCGACCTCAGTTAGAGTCCTGGACCCAGTGTGTTGAAAATCAAGCCAAGTGCATGAATGTGCATGTCCCAAATCCCAGGAGGACAATGAAGAAGAAAACTTGAGGAGAAAAATAGAGAGACAGAGGAGCTGGAGCCCACGGGCTTGGGGCCCTCCCTGTCCCTGGGCAGATGGGGAAGCATCCTATCCCAGGAGCTGGGCTTCTGGAGACAGGCAGGGCCGGCAGGTGTGCAGCACAATGGGAGCTGCCAGGGAAAAACGGGGCAGCAAGAAACACCCATGGGGCAAAACACAACAGAATGGTGACAGACAAGGGCCTCACTTTTCAGTATCTGCTGAAGGAGTATGTCTTTCCAGGGAGCAAGGAGGCTGATGTTTGGATTGTAGCATATAAATTCTTTTGTACTGGGTATCTGTTCAAACCAACAAGGTACCTATATGCAGGGCAGCTATGGCTTACATGAACTGCTCGTGTTATTATAAGAGTTTAACTTTGTTTTGGCTCTCAGATCAAGGGTGAGGGCTGAGTGAGGAGGGCTAGGGAGAGAGAACAGTGCTGCAAAGTGAGCAGGCACATGTGCAGCACAGGGCAAGAGGCTTCACTCATGATGTCACTTACTACATCCCACCACCCTAAGGAGGTGGGTATTCACTTCCTCATTCTGCAGATTTAAGAACTGAGACTCAGTGAGATTAAGTCACCTTCCCCCAAAGTATCACAGCTGTAAGTGACAAGACAAGGTTTCAAATGTCACCCTGTCTACCTCTCTGGATGTAGCTTTCTGTATCGAATTGCTGATCCTGAAGAGTTGATATAAGGGGATTCCAATGGCCTGCTGATTGCTGGTTGACCATATAAATTACTACCTGACTCAGCTTCCCTGGGCTGCCTTAATTTAATAACTCTAAATTCCGAGTTTCAGGAAGTCCATCTATGTTATAATGTGATAATGAAGTTCAGTCCATTTGTCCCCTAGGTCAGAGAGTGTAATCAAGGACCTGATGTGCTACTTAGCAAGAAAGAATTTCAATACCTTTTCACTGCAATGGCCAGGTTTTCCATTTCTGTATTTTGAAGTTTGATCTCACGGATAAAGTTCTTTATAATATGTTCATATGGCTGAATGAGTCTAGGCTCCACAAGGTTGATATTTTGATACAAGGTACCAACTTGCTCTTTTCTGAAAAAAAAAAAAAAAAAAACCACAAAAAATTAAACCAATTTTAAAAATCATGAGTTACATAATTCTTTTCTTTTTTTAAAAGGCTTTTTGATATAGGGCACATATACTCAGCTAAGAGAGACAGAGAGATAGAGGGAAAATGAGAAATCACTCCCTAGAGGGAATGGCCACCCTGCAATCCTTTCTCTTCCATTCTCCTCTTGAGATCTTGGGCATGCATGCACACAAGTCTGGGTGCGTTTTTGCAGCCCAGGGCTGGGATTTGAACCATATAGTTGGCCATGTGGAATTCAGCACCTTAACCACTACGCCATCTGCTGGCTTGAATTTACACATTTCATATAGGAAAGATAAACATAAATAAAGAGCCAAAGTAGAAAAAATAATAGCAGAATAATCTAAAATGAAAGGAAGACAGCAGTCAGAGATACTCAGAGATACTATTGGTTTTTTTTTGTTTGTTTGTTTTTTCCATATAAGAAGATGGAGACTTGTGAGGGCAGCAGTAATACATAGAAAGGGACTGATAGGGATGAATATCTTTGTTTTCATCACTATTGTTTTCTTGTTTTGTTTTCTTAATAGAAAGGTACACAAGTTTACAGAAAAGTCAGGTGACATTAAACCAACTATTTGATTCACCAATCCCTAGTATAATTTCAGCCTTCATAGTCGTAACAGTAGTGATAGCTATTATTTTATTGTCAGTTAAAATTACTTCATATAAACTCATATTTATATACGTATTTATTGTTTCTACTCACAATACTTATGACACCAAAGTATGCTTTTTTCTTTCTCACACCAACCAACTCTCCAACTTTCCAGACACCCACTGGGTGTCCAACAATACAATTCAATTCTCACACTAACTGAAGGTAGCACAGACTGCCCAGGTTAAGGGTTCAGTCCCACAAGACTGCCCTGACTTTGGGCACCAGTCACCAGTCCTGGGTTGCCTTCTGTACTGCTGACTAAGCAACTACACACCAGGCTCCTGTGACCCCTCCTAAAGTTCCATGACTGGCCAGAAGAGTTCACAGAACTCAGGAAAACACTTTGCTTCAGTTTACTTCGCTATAAGACACAACTCAAGAGCAGCCAAATGGAAGAGATGCACAGGAAAGGTACAGGAGGTGGGGCAGGTATGCAGAGCTCCATGTCTTTGCTGCCAGCACCTCCATGTGTTCACCAACCAAGCCACTCTCCAAGCCCTGTCATCTAGGGGCTTTTATGAAGGTTGCATTGCACAGGCATCAATTCAACCTTCAGCCATACTCTCTTACCCAAAGGTCAGGAGAAGAGGCCTGAAAGTTCCAACTCTCTAATAATGTCTTGATGACCTATCCTTTTTTTTTTTTCCTTTGGAGAGGTTTTTGCTATAGGGCACATGCGCTTGCCAGACAGACAGAGAGAGACGAAGAGACAGAAAACGAGAAATCCCCCCCCAGGGAGGATGGCCACGCCCCAATCCCTTCTCCTCCATTCTCCTCTTGCGATCTTGGGCACGCACACACACACACACGCCCCGCATGAGCTTAAGCCACCAGGTCTGGGACCCGAACCACGGTCGACTACGTGGAAGACCAGCGACATAGCCATTACACGAACTACTGGTCACCTGGTGACCAATCTTTATCCTGATGCTCAACAGGGACCCAGAGTCCCCAGGCATCTCACTACCACACAAAAGACAGGCTCTGCATTCTGAAGATACCAACGGTTTTAGGAGCCATATGCTAGGAACTTGGGGCAAAGGCCAAGTATGTATTTCTTACTGTACAATATTTAGGTGACAGTTCCCATACTTGTTATTTAGTATCTTTTGTTAAAAGACAGGTTGTGGGGACCAGCAGATGGTTGCGTTGCTGGACTCCCAAGTAGTCGACCGCAGTTCAAATCCTGGATCTAGTGGCTTAAACTCACACTGGACACATGTGTGTGCATGTGTGCCCAAAATCCTAAGAGGAAAATAGAGAAGGGATTGTGGTGTGATCATTCTCCCAGGGAGAGTGATTTCTTGCTTTCTGCCTCTCTGTCTCTCTGGTGAGCACACACACCCTATAGCAAAAATTTCTCTCTTAAAATAAATAAATAAATAAATATGTTCAGAGCTATTTTAATAGGAAAATTGACCAAATTCAGTGGCTAAGCAGCTAGAGGATGAAGGAGCCAGCTGGTGAGACGAGAGGTACCCTCGCTCACAGTGTAAGAGCAGATACACTAAAGTGAGATCCAGCATGATCTATGAATCAGGTGCCCTTGAAGTGTAGTTAGTGGAACTCAACCATCATCAATGGAGGCCATCGCTGTGTGTAGACTCAGTAGCCACCAGTTCCTCACCATATCCAAAGCTTCTCTTGCCTGAGGGGCTGCATATTGGCTTCCTTGGACAGCTTACATCAGAGACCGTGCAATTTGACCTTCCTTCTTTTGATCCTAGTGGAGAGCCATGCTTGCTCATCTTTAACAAAGCTGTGACTGGGTTGTGACAGTAGCAGCACTTTAAAGCAAAGAACATTTACACCAGTTCAAAGAAGAGAAGCGAGAAATTTAGATAACAGGCAACTCTTTGGCCTGAGATGGTAACACCATAATAACAGTAGTAGAGAGATCTGACAATTTTCATCAAGTCTGGAAATGTCAGAGACACGTAATCCTGGGAAAACTAATCACTTTTACATAGTAGGATGTAATGATCACTTTCAATGCTTGGATTATTCTTATGTTTGGTGATATACTGCTGTTATTTTTGTTTTGTTTGTTTTTGAGTTTTTTTCCATAGAGCACATGCACTCACCAGAGAAAGAGAGACAGAGAGAGACAGTGAGAGGGAAAGTAAGAACCCATCCCCCAGAGGGGATGGTCATGCCACAATCTCTCAGTAGCCACCAGTTCCTCACCATATCCAAAGCTTCTCTTGCCTGAGGGGCTGCATATTGGCTTCCTTGGACAGCTTACATCAGAGACCGTGCAATTTGACCTTCCTTCTTTTGATCCTAGTGGAGAGCCATGCTTGCTCATCTTTAACAAAGCTGTGACTGGGTTGTGACAGTAGCAGCACTTTAAAGCAAAGAACATTTACACCAGTTCAAAGAAGAGAAGCGAGAAATTTAGATAACAGGCAACTCTTTGGCCTGAGATGGTAACACCATAATAACAGTAGTAGAGAGATCTGACAATTTTCATCAAGTCTGGAAATGTCAGAGACACGTAATCCTGGGAAAACTAATCACTTTTACATAGTAGGATGTAATGATCACTTTCAATGCTTGGATTATTCTTATGTTTGGTGATATACTGCTGTTATTTTTGTTTTGTTTGTTTTTGAGTTTTTTTCCATAGAGCACATGCACTCACCAGAGAAAGAGAGACAGAGAGAGACAGTGAGAGGGAAAGTAAGAACCCATCCCCCAGAGGGGATGGTCATGCCACAATCTCTTCTCCTCCTTTCTTCTCCTGGGATTTTGAGCATTTATGCACATGCACCAAGCATGATTTTCAAGTTGCCAAGTATGGGACTCCAACCACAGTAGGCCATATGAAAGTCTAGCACCTTAGTCACTACACCACCTGTTGGCACCTACTGCTGTGATATTATAGTTACTCCCTGACAAAAAAAAGTATTCCAATTAATACCTGTGATATAAAGAGATTATTGTTCTCCAGGTGATTATCTAGCTCTGGTGAAGCTATTGGGTGGGCCCCTATAAAAACCAGGATGTGTGAGAGCAAATCACAGCCATCTATGGTGCCTAATGACACCAGAGTAACAGCATAACAGACCAGTCAGAAATTCTTAACACAGGCTTTGCTCTGTTACTCTGCTGAAGGCAGCCTATTAAAATGTTGAGGGCACAAAGAGTGTGATGATAATCCCAGGCCTCAGTAATTGAAAGGCCATACAGAGAGCCATCGCCCAACTGGAATAGACGGTGCAATTAAATATAGTAAGACCAATGGTTGTCATAGGAATAATTCTCTTCAGTGAGTGGTCACCATATTCCAGGGACTGTGCTACAGCTGGTACACATCCTACCTCTGAATGCTCACAATAATCCTGTGGAGGATTTTTATTAATCCATCTTGCACATAGGCAGCATTAACGGCCTGTTATGGGCTGACTGTGTACCTTCCAGAATAACTACCCAGTACCTGAGAATGTGATGTACTTGCAGTCAGGACCTTTAAAGAGGTAATGAAGTTAGAATGAGGTCATCAGGGTGGGTTCTCATCCAATCTTACTTGTATCTTTATAAAAAGAGGAAATTGGGACAGAGAGGTACAGAAGAGAGACCAGGAGAGATTCCACACAAAGAGAGGGTGGTCATGAGAGCAAGCCAGGGAGAAGGGCCTCAGAAGAAACTGATGCTGCTGACCTGCTGACACCTGATCTCCAACATCTATCCTCCAGAACTGTGAGAAAATAAACTGGTTGTTTAAGTCCCCCAGTCTGTGCTGTCTGCTACCACAAATGCCCAGCACCCCCAAACCCAAGGTCACATAGTGATTAAGTGGGTGAGTAGAGATTCAAACTCAACCTCACACTAGAACCAATTTGTGCAACTGCAATATCGCATTGCTTCCCAATTGTGTTAAACATCTGAACTAAGGCAGAAAAAAACAAACAAACAAAAACCAAAGAGACTCAAAATCAAAGGATTCTGCGTATCACTGTGGAAATCTGCAGCCTTGCTGACCGGGCCCTGCAGGCTGTGAGGTGGGATTCGGTGTTGCGGTGGCCTCCAAGAAAGCAGACAGCACACTGCTGTGGCCACTAGGAAGGGGCAGGATTAACACCACCCCCACCCCCACCCGAGTCTTCACCACAGTGCAGGAGCCAGTGGCAGCAAGAGAGAGGGACAAAGTGCAAAGGAACCACAACTCGGACTTCTCACTGCATTCTGCCCACCCAGGTATGTTTCAGATAACGTCCCCTCCTGCAACCCTCCACCATTAATCCCCAAATCTTTCCCACAGTGCAGGAACCAACTGCA